AAAAAAAAAAAATCAGATTTGGTCTTCAAGACTATGTCCACCCGTGCCGGCCCCGTGGCGCACTCAGGAGATTGCAGCGCTGGGAGCGCAGCGACACTCCCGCCGCAGGTTCGGATCCTATACAGGACTGGCCGGTGCGCTCACTGGCTGAGTGCAGTGCGGGCGACAGCGCTGGGAGCGCAGCGACACTCCCGCCGCAGGTTCGGATCCTATACAGGACTGGCCGGTGCGCTCACTGGCTGAGCGCAGTGCGGGCGACACCACACCAAGGATTGCGATCCCCTTATCGGTCACGAAAAGGACAGGAAAAAAAAAAAAAAAAAGACTATGTCCACCCAATGCCCCTTTCAGTTAAGTACAGTATCAGATCTCAGGGTCCTAAGATGTGGCTCAGTGCCTTGTGAAGAAAGCAGAAGAACAAAAGTGAATTATCTTGTTGCTAAAGATGAGCTACTGGCAACTCAGGAAAAACATAACCCTAGCACCACTGCTTTCAGAGAAGAGCCCCACCCATTCATGTATCCCCAACCCATCAGGCTCGGGCAAAGGGAAGAGAAGTATGTTAAGAGTGGTTGGGTGAGCAGTGTTCTGTCATTGCAAGGACACAGAATTGTGTTTACCTCCATGCTGTGCAGTTCAATTAGGGCTATTTGCCCCTCGATGGGAGAGCTGGGACATACACACACCAGCTGACCGCCTGGCCCAAAACTCACAGACACGTGAGGGACGTAGAACTTCATGGGTGCTTTGGGACCAGCTGCGGAGACATCCTCTGACCAAAAGACAAAGATGGACATTGTTAGCATTACTTCCACCACTTTTCTTTAGTTTAGAAATATGCCACAGACAGATTTCTGTCCAAATTCCACCTGGGACCAAGATAAGATTCTGGGTGGGCTACATAAGTAAAAGAAGTTTATGCTCCAAGTCAGATTTAAGCCTCTGAAAATATGGCTGAATATAATATAAGAATTTGATGATTCAGTCCAAGTGACGATGTGCCCAGCCCAGACTCTCAGTGCTCGTGAGAGGCCAGGGAGTCTCTGGCTCTCGTAGCCTCCATATTCATGACAAGTCTCCTACATACAGACAAAGAAATTATGCTTCGTGTCCCACTTTTGCTTTGCCTAGTTCTCTCTGGTCTTCACTTTCTTCTCCTGTTACTTAAATGCACAGCTGAGCGCCTCCTCTCCCAGCCTGACAATGGCTAGGGGCAGTGTTCCCTTCCAAGAATCAGCTAGGATGCAATTTCCATTACAAGAGAAAAGTTGAGCAATCGAGCCAAAGTTGGCCTCTCCACTCAGGAGACCTACATAAATACATAAGGTGGACAATGAGCCATTCTTGGAAATACAGGGTGAGGGTGATTTTCCAAGAGACCTGCCACCCAGGCTTTCATCATCAGACTCAACCAACTCCTGTGATCACATTAGTACCCACCAGCCTGACCCGGACTCCACGCTGCTGATGCCATGGGATCATAACACTCAGGGGCATCTGCCATGTACTGACTGAGCTCATAGCTGCTGGAGCTGAGACCAGACTCATGCTGCTGGAGAAGGCTGGATTCACTGGCCAAAGACAGCTGGAAATTTAAAACAATGACAACACATAGGAAGCAGTTTCAGAGAGCTGGTCCTCTCAAGTGTTCCTCCAAAGAAACAAAATTCAAACTTTCCAATAAACACAGTGAAAGCCAATGTGCTGAAAGGAGAAGACAGGATCATTGAGTTGACAGCTGTTTTCCAAAGAATGCGCTGTGGCTCAGTGGAAAGAGAGCAGGCCCTGGGGTCAGGGGGACTTGAATTCAAATCTCAGCTTTGTTCAATACACAGCTGCTGTGGCCTTGGACAAGTGACTTGGGCTCTCTGAGCTCAGTACTCTCTTCTGTGATATAAATAATCATATCGTCCCGGTCTACCTCAAGTACTTCCTCCTGTATTCATTCACCAACTATTTAATGAGCACCTATTATGCTCCAGATGCTATACTTTCCCTTAGAATACAGGTGTAAAAGAAATGCATAGATCTTACTTGCCAGGAGCGTATGAGTTAAACAATGAATTCGACAGCCCTTTGTAAACTGTGAAGTGCTATACACATGTGTGTGGCTGCTGTTATTGTCTTGTTTCTATTAGTTATAATGATATGTTCTCTGCCATATTAAGCAGTAGGTATATAGAAGAAACTGCCCTCAAAAATCATACAAATCTAATCAGGGAGACAAAATTAATGCAAGACTGTCAAAAATTAAGAGCTCATCTCTGTAGTATCTTTGCAACTTTTCCATAAATCTAAAATTAATCCAAAATAAAAAGTTTATTTAAAAAATTAAGAGCTCCATTTTGTGGCCCAGTTGGTACATACAGTAAAATTTTAGAGGAGAAAGATGAAAAAGTCAGGAAAGGTTTGAAGCCCTGCTTTTCAAACCTGAATTAAAAGATTTTAGCAACTTCCCACATCCTGGGTAAACCAATCACTAGTCGCCTGGGGACCCTGACCTAACACCGGATGGCAGCCTTTTTGCTTTCCCAGCACCTTGGAGTGACTTGGGTGACATGTCCTGATCCTGCCAATTTGACAAAAAGGCAAAAGGGCCAGATCAGACCTCAGAGCTGTAAGAGTGAAGCAGTAAGGGGTGGAAGGAGGAGGCGTGAGTGGAGGCTCTGCCAAGAGGGGAGGCTGGCCACTGGAAACTTACATCCCCCAGGGCCTTGCCCTGTCACTACTGACAGTGCCAGTTGTGACGCACAGCCCCAGGCTCCAGCCCCCACGTCACTTCGGGTTACCTTGTTCTTCTGGGCCCGCATTAGCAGACTCTCTGGAAACAGCTCCCTGGGCCTTTCCTGTCCAGAGTTGGAAGCAGGACTGTCTTTATAAGGGTTCTGACTGTTAGACCTGCAGCAAAGTGACAGGAGCAGTGAGGGAAGTCCTGGGCAAGCCAGCAAGGCCACAGTGCTCTCTGCCGGAGGCCACCCTCTTCCAAGCGTGGGCAGGTGTCAGGCCAGCCTGACTGCCACAGGGGAAAGCATTTTCCTCCCATCTGCCACCTCAATTTATTAATCCCAGAAAAATAGGAGTGCTTGGGTTGCATAGTGCAGGTACTGGAAGTGGCCTCAGACTCTGCGAACAAGGGCTGGTCTCTGCAGCTTGGTGTCCTGGAATGGCTTAAATCAGAGCACTGGGGTTGGTGAGTTCCAGGGCCAAGGGCACCAGGACAGATGCTTGGGCAAAAGTCTCCTCCCTGCTCTTCCATATCCCAGGGTGGAATCCCATTCTCACAACCAGGAGTGGGCTGAGGAGAAATGCCCAGCCCCAGGCAGGACCCAATCGTGAGAACTTTTGCAGGCTGGCCGGTTAGCTCAGTTGGCTAGAGTGTGGCCTTATAACACCAAGGTCAAATGTTCAGTTCCCCATACTGGCCAGCCACCAGAGTAAAGAAAAAAAAAGAAATTACACAGGAACTTTTGCAAGGCCACATCTGTTTTGAGGGCAACATAGAATTAGACCCTCCTTTAGGACAGACCTCAAGCAACCTGACAGGACTCGGACTGGCCTAGGTTTGGGAACAGCCTCTCAGAGACAAGGATCTCTTCTCTCAGGGTTCATGTTAACAGCTGGCCCAGGCCATGCTGGGCTGCTCTCATATCCCTGTGGCTAGAACAAAAGCAGATGGGCTTCTGGACATGAGAGCCCAGCAGCAGATGCCCTAAGATTTGCCTAACAGTCTGAGTTTCACTGAATCATGTCGAACTGGCGTCTCCGTTCACACTTACTGGAACTGGGTCTCACTGTTTGTTCCAAATGGACTATTCTGGTTTCCATGATGATGTTCGTTGAGGTACTTTTGATGTCGATAATCTTCATGCCAGATATAAGGACTCCCCTGCCTTGGCCCTGCACCCTCAGAGAAAACAAAATTAGGACAGGCTGCTTCCTGCTTCTGAAAGCTCTATCAGAAAGACACTAGTGAGTTGTGAAGCTGAGTTACTGGGGCACAGTAGGTATAAAAACATGTTTGCCAAATTGAATTAAATTGATGGGTGAGAGCTAACAATGAAAGCCCATGAGACACCTTTGGTCCTCTCTGAACAAGTTAGCATGGCTCTATACAACCGTACAATGGTGGGGACCAGTTGTATAATGTGTGTGTGTGTTCAACACAGAAATGAATTTCCCTTTGCTAGCAGGTTGCCATTAGCTTAGCACACACTCCACACCTGTTAGTACAGAGTATAAAGCTCCAGTGGCTGCATATCTACCCTCAGCATGAAGTGATGGTCAGACCCATATTATAGCCCAGCAGGTACTCCATGCCCTTAAGAACTGACTTCACTGTTACTTGGGCAGAGACTATAATCTTGGCTATTAAGGAGGAGTAGGAGGAAGAAAAGTGTGGATGAAGTGCACACTATCCATCATACTAGTAACATGATGATAGTTTCAGTACCATCATCTACACACCCAAAGGAAAACAAGTCCCTTCCATCTCTTCCCCTCAAGACATCTGGGAGTAGTGTCTCAGCTGTGGTCTCATCTGGCCAAGAAAGAATGCCCATGGTGAGTCTCTGCCCCTGGCTCCTTGGGTCGCTGCCCTGCCTGTCTGACCAGCTGCACCATTTCCAAATCCCAACAGCTTCTCAGAGATTGTTCCATACCTCTTTCTTCCTGAAGCCACTGTGGGTGTCCGTGATAGTAATAACTTCCATAAGCACAGTCTTCCCTCAGTACTGGAGAGTGATAGCCCTGATACAGATCCTCGTAGTTTGGCCTAAAATATCACAAAAGGCCAGTGCAAGGATGAGTGTGGTAAGGAGAGAAACCAATGGAGGACTTGACAAACCAAACAACTGCAGAGGACAAAATTGCAACCCCCATCTAGAATCTGCTTGAAAGCCACGGTTAATTCAAATCCTATAAATACAAAATCCAGAATCAGAACAGGAGTATGGCCTTTATTACATAACAAGGATTGTAGCAAAACTCTTTCTTTTTTAATCAAAAAGTCTTTTTTAAAAAAACAGTATTTATAACTCTTTTATTTTTGCAGTAAAACTCTTTTTTGGGGGTGGGGGGAGGGTGGCTGGCTGGCACGTGGATCGAACCCTGGATCTTGGTGTTATATAGTTAAACTCTTGTTCCCCAAACACACACATCCAACAATACAAGGAGATGTTATCTTGGAAAACCCTGTCCTATCTGAGAAAACCCCTTCCTGGGATGACTGTGAAAGAACCCAACATGTCATTGCAATTCCCTCGCTTATTACACAGAAGTTGAAAAGTCAAGTTGGACTGTCTTAAGTCTAATTACTTTTATTGCCTTTGCCCTTAACGTACCTCCCTTTGAGAATTCAACGATCCAAAATGATTGAGGAAAGGAACGTCGTGTTGTTAGTATTTTTATCAATTAAATAATGTTTCAGTATTTCATAGAGGCAAAAGTCTTTACAATAATTGTCATAATTTCCACCCTAAATTTGTAGGCAGGTAAATACATTTGTAATATCAACAGATTGGAAGGAACGCATGGGAAACAGATAACAGGAATAGGTGCAGTACATTTGTAATATCAACAGATTGGAAGGAACGCATGGGAAACAGATAACAGGAATAGGTGCAGTACATTTGTAATATCAACAGATTGGAAGGAACGCATGGGAAACAGATAACAGGAATAGGTGCAGTACATTTGTAATATCAACAGATTGGAAGGAACGCATGGGAAACAGATAACAGGAATAGGTGCAGTACATTTGTAATATCAACAGATTGGAAGGAACGCATGGGAAACAGATAACAGGAATAGGTGCAGTACATTTGTAATATCAACAGATTGGAAGGAACGCATGGGAAACAGATAACAGGAATAGGTGCAGTACATTTGTAATATCAACAGATTGGAAGGAACGCATGGGAAACAGATAACAGGAATAGGTGCAGTACATTTGTAATATCAACAGATTGGAAGGAACGCATGGGAAACAGATAACAGGAATAGGTGCAGTACATTTGTAATATCAACAGATTGGAAGGAACGCATGGGAAACAGATAACAGGAATAGGTGCAGTACATTTGTAATATCAACAGATTGGAAGGAACGCATGGGAAACAGATAACAGGAATAGGTGCAGTAGTGCGGCGGCGCTCCCGCCGAGGGTTCGGATCCCACATACAGACCGGCCGCTCACTGGCTGAGCGAGGTGCGGGAGCGACACCGAGGGTTGCGATCCCGTTGCCGGTCCCGGTCCAGTACGGGCGCGACACTGAGTGTTGCTATCCGTTGCCGGTCACGAAAAAAGACAAAAAAAGGAAAAAAAAAAAATGGGGACCATAATAACTACCTTACAAGGTTATTGTCAGAGTTAGAGGTAACAAACAGAAAGTGCCTTAACACGCTACCTGGCACATAGCAACTGGTCAATAAATAGTAGTTAGTGTTACCAGAGATAAAGATTAGGGCAATGTGAGCAGCTGGAGACATTTCCTAAATAAAAAGAAGTTTAAATTGTCCTCTTCAGGAGATACCTTTTCTGAATCCTCCTATTAACCTCCTAGAAGAACTAGGCCCTATAATATGGCCATACCTGCCCCTCCTCCGGGGGAGCCAATGAGATGCAAGTTTGGGATTGCTGACATGAGAAACTGGAGAGCCGTAACTCAGGATTCTTCCTGGCTGGAGATTTTCAATCCTGGAAGGCTCCCTAGCATCAAACTAATTTTCTCTATGTATTCCTCAAATGGGAAAAAGCTCCAGGGACTGATTACCTTCCAAGTGCCTCTGCCCATATCACAGAGGAGGACCTGCAAAGAGAAAGCACACCTCAGCCCTTACCTCTGCTCAGGAATTCTCTTGTGTCAGGAGCACCGGTCAGCCCCCACCTTTTCTCTCCTTTAGGAATTGTGTTAGGTTGCAAGAGTCTGATCAAATCACATAACTTGCTCCCACTGCTGAATCTCCTAGCCTCATATAAGAATTTATATCAAAACAAAAGGTCAAAGGGTATATGTTGAAACCAAGATGTCACTCTGCCCAGACACCATGGAGCAGGGTCCATGGCTATGAACTGAGAGCTGAGAGGCAGCAGAATGAGCAGGAAGAGCAAGGCATGCAGGTATCTTCCACCTCAGAGTCAGTCACACCTCAGGAGAACTTGTGCCCTCCTTCCCCTGTCACTTCCTTCCCATGTCTGCCCTTTTCCTTGGGAAAGCCAGATGAGATGGAAGCCTTTGCCAACAAATCCCAGGAAGGGCCAAATACCCCAGGCACAGTGAAAAGGTATGTGGGCCTTTCCTGGAGGCCCACGCAACTCAATACCATTTGGACACAAGTACGTGGAACAAGAAAGCCACTTTCACCTTGTCCCCAGATATTTTCACTAGGCAGCCCTTCCCCAGCTGCAAAGGCACAATACCCAGTCTCTGAACTGAAATCACATCATTGGTGCCAACAGACATCAACTCCAGTAAGTTAGACCTCAAGTTATAATGAAGGACACCAAATGAAAACCGCCTAAAATTCCCAAAATGAAGAAATCCCACCTGCAACAACAAGTCACAGTCACACATTCACATAAACAGCCTACCCTGGCCTCAGTAAGGGCGATAGCTCCTTTCCTAATCTGACAGCACGGCAAGCACAGCTCAAAGGAGGGGAAGAAGGGTGCAGCATTCCCACGCACCTGCTCTGACGGCTTCCACCTTCCTGCAGGCTGCTCTAGGGGCCCGGCCCACGAGTACCTCCTCTCCTCCTGCAAACTGCCAAAGTCCAGGTGCCACATCTACTGAAACTTACCTGACCTCCAGATCTGCATCCAGTTAGTTACCTCTGCAATTGCTCAGCCTCCATGATTCACTAGGGCAAAGTACAGCCCAGCAATCTCCGTCTGAGACAGACCTGACCCGGCCTATTTGCTCAGAACCCAGTCAGGGGCTGGTGCTTCTGTTTGCCTGGTCGTGGGCTGAGCCAGGTTCACTCACATGAGAAAGCATCCCAACCCCCACAGCAAACACGGAGGAGACACCAAGGGGTGGAAATCCAGAAAGCCTTTGCCTGGTCGTGGGCTGAGCCAGGTTCACTCACATGAGAAAGCATCCCAACCCCCACAGCGAACACGGAGGAGACACCAAGGGGTGGAAATCCAGAAAGCCCTCAGGCAGTCTGCTCTGGCCAGGAGAGCACCACCTTTGGAGTGTTGGCTGCTGGCTCTGCCATGGGCTGGCTCTATTACTCAGCCTCTCTGAGGCTCAGTGTCTTTTTCTCTAAAATAGGAATAACAATACTGAGATTATCAGGGTCACTATGAGGGTTAAGTTTTGGTAGAGTAGCACATGATAATGTGGATAATGTCCACACCTGCACTTCCAACACCATCTGATGCACCACAGTGCATCTAGTGACTCTTTCTAGTCAGCAGCAGCCCAGATCTCTGACTCCAAGAATGAGTCAAGGGCTGAAGGTTTAGTGCGGAGCAGCTTCTTGACTCCAGCAAAGCCGTCACTTGAAGCCAGTCTGAGAGATATGGCACTCATGGCCTGAGCCCATGACTGGCCACCAAGGCTTTGACTCCTTCCTTCAGGTGAGCTGGGTGGCAGGCAAGATGCAGAGCATCCCGTGCCAATCAGCAGTTCCAGTTATTAGGAGGTGTGCTGCGCCAGAGACAATTACCCTGACACAGGTACTATAAGCTACCAGCGCCAATCCTGGGACTGTTACCCTTGCCACAGTCTTAGAAGTAAAGGTTTGGGCACAATGCAGTTTTCCTACAAGACCAAGGAACCTGTGGATGAGCCCTGACAAAGGACTCCTTTAAATGCCACCTAGCTGGCTGCCTGCAAACCTGCCCTCCCGCATTCACTTCTGCTGCCAAGAGCTAGAGAAGCAGAATATCATTCAAGAAGAATGACTCCATGCTTCCTTACCAGCCCTGGTCTGGCAGAGGTGGCCCCACCTTCTCCTCTCTTTACCCCTCCTATTTTTTCACTCTCCCTGAATCAGGGTGAGTGGGGTGGCAGATAGACACTGCTGTGACTTCTGACTCCACATCAAGCTCCAACAGGCAGAAGTGACTCTGACAGCCGCTAAATGAAATAAAGGACTGTAATATTCTTGAAGTGTTTCCTGAGCTGCAAATCAGTAGGATGTAAATTCTCCAGAGGAGCAGTACAAGTTGGTGGTCTTGGAGGAAGGCTGTCTGGGTATGAATCCTAGCTCCCTGCTTGCTGTGTAAACTTGGTCTCTTTTTCTTCATTTGTAAAATAGGGATAATAAATGAACCTCCTACTTCAAAAAGTTATTATAAAGGTAAAATTAGATTTAAAACGTACAAAGTACTTGGCGTATTGTAAATGTTCAAAAATGTTAAATGTTATTATTTCCCTGGAAATAATGTAAAGTGCCTAGGAAATATTCTGCACGTCATTAGTAAAGGATTAATTGATTATCCATTACTGCTGTGAAATCCACAGCTCCTCCTTGACACTTAATCCAGTGCTCCCATGGAGCCACGAGATCAGGGGGAAATAGAGAAACTGTGTCACATGACTACACAGGAGAAAAAGAATGAAGTATGGTGAGAACGTTAGAATTAGAAACTTTAAGAAAGTGCAGCCCAATGCTTCTCATCCTGCAGCACTTGCAACCTCAGCGTCAATGCAGCATCCCACAGAATAAGCAACAGTGTTCTTTTACAAGCAATTGTAAATAGCATTTAAAACAATCACAAATATTATGGAGTGAAATTCAAACTTACTTTAATTTTTAAGATGAAGCATGAGACTTCCAAGAAATTTCATATTTGCAGTGGGATAGATACACATATGCACACACATGCACACACACATACACACATTCACACATACACACTGCACCCCAGAAGTCATTCCCTGCCACTTGGTGGAAAGGTTTGAGAGACACATGCTGAAGAAGAACAGACATTCAGACACAGAGCCAATGAGCTGGAAAGAATCTCTGGAAAGTATCCATCCCTGCAGGTGAAGCAGTGTCTAAGCCAGCGAGACTCAAGCCAAGGCCTTTGCTCACATTTGGCTGTCTCATCTACAGACCCATAGCAGTTCAAGCTCTCTACTGCTGGATAAAAATCCTCTATTATACAAGACTCTACAGGGTACCCAGGAGTCCAGTGACTCTCTCAGTTTACCTGGGACAGGTAGTGTTTGCTCTTCAGGGAAGGTAGGCCCTCAGGCTCCTTATGGAAACATGCCCCAATATTTTCACATCAAGATGTTCCTCCTGATGAATGACACATAAGAGACTCAGACTTTCACTACAACTGTCTGAACAGGGGAAACAGCCATGATGCCACACAGCGGCCTGCTCTCCAGGTTATATAGTCCCAACTCTGTATATTTCCTTATAAAATTTCTTCCTTAATCATTTGTGGGAATAGCAAAGGCCAAGGGAAAAGAAAATAGGAATTGAAACCTGGATTTAGTTTTAACTATACCACTTCCTAGCCATGTGCCTTTGGAAAAATCACCCAATCTCTATGAGCCCCGCTTTCCTCATCTATAAAGTGAAACATACAAAGTAAACATAAAAAGTACCTCACAGGGCTGCGATGTGGATGAAATGAAATGATAAACAGAATGATATGGAATGAAATGATAGGGAAAAACACCAAAGGAAGCACCTGTTTAAATGAGGAGTGGGTTTTCAATAAACCTTTGCCTTTCTCTCTTCCAGGTTTCTTATATCCTACTGAAAGTGTGACAAGCTAAACTATATACAAAGCAATGAGTAGGGTAGAGTATAGTGGTTCAGAGCTCAGGCTTCACAGTCAGAATTGGATTTGCGTCCCAATGCCTCCACTGATTAGCTGTGAGACTTCAAGCTAGTTACTTAACCCATTAGGCTAAGTGTCCCCATTTGTGAAATGAGTGTATGATAATAGGTATCTTCACAAAGTTTGTCGTAAAATAAATGAGATAATGCACTGTTCGTGGCACGTAATAGGTACTCAATTAATATTTGATGAATAAATTAATGTATGATCTAGAAAAAGCACTTAGCACAGTGCCTGCACATAGTAGGTGTTCCATAAGTGGTTGTCAATGTTATTTAAAAGAGCATAGCAAAAGAGCTACTTTCTAGGCTGTTCGGGGAATGTGTTCTTATTTAGCTTTTTTTTTTTTTTTTCCTTTTTGTCTTTTTTCATGTCCGGCAACGGATCGCAACCCTCAGTGTTGCACCTGCACCTCGCTCAGCCAGTGAGCGGGAACTGGTCTGTATGTGGGATCCGAACCCTCGGCGGGAGCACCGCTGCACTCCCAAGCGGCGCACTGTAGCAGTGTGCCACCGGGCCGGCCCCTTATTTAGCTTTTATTACAGCAGTTTATACTTAAACTTTTATCTTTAGCTGTTCTTTATTATTGGCTTATAATATAGCCTGAGGTTATTGTTTTTAATTTTTATTCTGCCCTCTCTCTCATCATAACAATCCATTGAACTCATAGCTTGTCTTCTTCCCCAGAGATGCCTATCCTTGGCTCATTATTTTCATTACCCAGTGGCTTTAGTAGAGAGTTTGGCCATTTCAGAAGCAAGAAAAGCAAGACCAGAAAGGGTGAAAGATTTCATCAAACTCATGCAGTGTGTTATTATCAGTCATTAAGTGGATGAAAATCCATCACAGAACTTCTAGTCCAATGCTTTTGTTCAGAAAAACATACTGCTTAATAATAACCATGTACCATATTTAACACAAAAGTGCAATTATTTAAAAATCCATTTCAGGGCCGAGCCTGTGGCGCACTCGGGAGAGTGCGGCGCTGGGAGCGCAGCAGCGTTCCTGCCGCGGGTTCAGATCCTATATAAGGATGGTCGGTGCACTCAGAGCGCTCACTGGCTGAGCACGGTGCAGCCGGTCTCAAAAAGGACAAATAAATAAATAAATAAAAATCCATTTCATGTGAATACAATGATCACAACTTTCAAAGTTGTCAGTCAGTGTACATAGGTTAATAATAGACAGCTTAGATAGATATATGGGCAGACAGATAGATAATTTAATCATAAAATAAGAACTTAAAGATTAATTTATATATATTCTACTCACCCCATTTTTCAGCCAGTAAAGGTTCATACCACTTTGCAGGTTCTACTCCTCTGCCCACTCTTCCATGTACAGAAATAGTCCACGTGTGTGCACAATGTGAAAGCATACATGTGTTTTAGTGGCACTCACATCCCTTGTTCTCTCAGTTGGGAATAGGTGACTGCAGATATAGCAAAACTCCCCAGGAGTACTGTCCTCATGCTGAATTTAGCACATCAGGGCAATCTCCAAAGGAACCACTTCTGATGTCAAAAAATAAAGTCCAAACTTCAGCTTCTGAAGGACAGTGAAGGGCACGACAAGATGATGAAGAATTTTCTCTTCTAAGCATAAATATTCACAGTTATCACTAGAGAGATGGCCAATCTGTTATTTTCTGGGAGCATCCCATAAATGAATGTTGTAGATTTTTGCATTCTGAGTCAACACTTACTGCCCTTCCTGACATTGTTTCTGTGATATAGTTTCTGTATGAGCCTGCTAAGAATATTCTCTTTTACACTACGTGTGCAATACTTGATATGCCCTGTGACATTATGACACTATGATGACATGTCACAGTGTTGGTCCAGATGTCCTTCATTGAATAAATGATGTCACTAAATGAGTCTGACTGGAGTATTCTCCTGGGAGAATGAAAAAAATTATTTCCTTCATTCAACAAACATTTTAGACAAAAATATTAATCTATTAATCTGTTATCA